AGCAATCGAGAAATTCCTACGAGACTATACCGACTATACGACAATAGAAGGAGCTATCTCGGAACATTTTCTCCGAGAAGCGTATAAATAGAATTTAGATTAAGGTCTCCGACCCGAACTAGGACAAGAATACTAGTACCTATTATATACGGACCTCCTTTAGCGTCGTAGGAACTCCGCGTAGAACGAGGGAGGGGCTACTATTATAGTAGCTGCCTAGAAAGCACCGACAAGTCCTATAAGCTAGCCGCTATACTATAAAGTAATATCGGATTTAAGTTGCCTTAGTAGTAGGGGCCTCTAGCGAAGTAGGTCGCCTAGTTAGCCTAGGTCGCCTAGGTCGCCCGAGTCGCCTAGGTCGCCTAGGTCGCCTAGTTAGCCGCCTATTTAGCCGTATAACGTAACATCTTAGAGACTCCCGCGGAGGCCGTATATAGCAGAACAACACGTTATATATTAATATACAAACGACGGGACTATACTAAACTACGTATATATATATATAAACGATAGTAAGCGAGACATATAGAGTCGTAGGACAAGTCCTATAAGCTAGCCGCTATACTATAAAGTAATGTCGGATTTGAGTTGCCTTAGTAGTAGGGGCCTCTAGCAAAGCAGGTCGCCTAGTTAGCCTAGGTCGCCTAGGTCGCCCGAGTCGCCCGAGTCGCCTAGGTCGCCTAGTTAGCCGCCTATTTAGCTATATAACGTAACATCTTAGGGACTCCCGCGGAGGCCGTATATAGCAGAATAATACGTTATATATTAATATACGAACGACGGGACTATACTAAACTACGCGTATATATATACAGATAATAGCAAGCGAGATATATAGAGTCGTAGGATAGATCCGAGTAGTAGGAAGGAACCGGAAGGCAGGGAAGAGCTAGGAGAAATATGTTTACTTAAGAGCGGTTAAACGAGTTCGTATACGCGTGCTACGCAAGTTAGCTAGAAGATAAAGGCGCTACGAGATAGCGGATATACGTACTTACGCTTACGCGTCGGACGCGCTAGATAGCCGTAGGGCGGAATACTAAGGAAGGGGCTCTCCCTCTAAGGTACCCTTCTTCCTTTCTTCGTAGTTCGTCTTATATAGATAGTAGCTATATTAATTTAGTACTCCCTTTAGTTTAGTTTAAAGTTTCGTATACATTCTTACTACTTAGCTACTAACCCTTATATCTCCTTCGCGCTAACGAGACGCCCGAACAAGCTACAATCCGGTAGTATATAGAGTACGAGGACTATAATAAGAAAGTCGATACGCTAATCGCCGCTAATCCTATAGAGCGTAATAAGAATAGAGACGTACGCTTTATCTAGGCCGCGAAGCTCGTACGTAACGCGTACGCTAAGGACGCTAACGGTCGGCTACCTAATCTTTTTCGCCTACGCCTATATAAGCGAATAGTCGAATACTATTTAGTAAGGCTTTAGTATTACCTATATTATCTATATCTTATAGCTAGCGATCGGCGCTTCTAGATTCTACGCGAATTATATTAGTATATAGGCAAGCTAGTTACTAATTTTAAAAACCTACTCTTTACGTAACTATACTCCTTCCGAATCGTAAACGACGATCTCGCTCGTAAATACTCTATCTTTAGGACCGACCTCTACTCGGACGGTTACGATACGTAGTAGGAGATTTACGCGATACGCTTTAGCGAGTACGTAGCGCTTATAACGGCGGGCGAATTAAAGGAGCTTCCTAACCTAGCTAACCTCGATACGAATTTTCTACCTACTATTACTTTCTACTACGCGAAGTTGTAGTACCGACTCCTAGTAAACATTACCCGCTTACGCGAGAACTTCCTTAGCTTAAGTACCTATACCGGCGACTTACGATTCTAGCTAGTACTGTCTCTAATCTGCAATAGAGCCGTCGGTCTTATAGTACGCGCTATCTTATACTTCCTATAAACGGTCGACCTCGTATAAGAGTAGTTCTACTACTTCGTCCTAAAAGAATATCGCGATAGTATTATAGTAGGCAGTTACCCGGTCCTATATAAGCGTAGCGAGAACGGTAAGAACGTATTCTACTACGACTACGGTAAGGAATACTAGAAGACGGGTAAGCGACCTATTAGCGAATACGTTAGAGCGACGAAGCATTATAAGATCGACCTAACTACCTACGGCGAAGTTTAATTCTTATAGATAGTAGCTACCGGACGACTCTCGATAGTGCGCCTACCTCTACTAGACTCCTAGCTTAAGGACTATATAGTTTAGCTACTACTAATCGGTATAGAACTTAGTACCTAGTCGGCTATATAGCTCTATAAGTAGTACGAGTCGTCCCTAAATTCTAGTAGTCTACCCTACCTATACTATCGCAACCTAGGTTGCCTAGCTATTACCTAGGACGTCGTCGCTTATACCTAGCGGTATATTACGGTCCGTAATGCCTATACGCTTCGCGGCGAGAGCTATATATCCGCCCTCTATACTAATAAGGCGCTTACGGATACGAAGGCTACTAATACGTCGCGTACGGAATAGTACGCTTAGCTTATAGGTAGCGGTCGCTACTAGAACGGTACCTATGCCGCTAATAAGGGCAAAGGTATACCTCTACTACTCCTTAACTATTAATGCCTAGTAGACTTTAGCCTAGTCTACTAGCTAACTTAGATCGATCCGGTATACGCCTTATCTACCTTTATCGCCTATATCTAGACGCTTAAGGACGGCGCTATCCCTAATAGATTAGAGCCCGCGCTAACGCTATAGTTCTACAATTTGCCGAAGACGGTCTCTACCGATCTAGTCTTCGATCCTTTAGGCGTCTAGGAGCGTATTATATAGGGCAATACTATTTTTAAGTACGATAAGATAGTAACGAATAAGAATTACTAGTAGTATAATATCGACTATACTTAGGATCCTATAGGCGTATTCCTAGTACCGTTACCCGACTACTCGCTAGACGAGACTAACCTTACTAACGCGCGCCTCTTTAGTAAAATCTTCCCTCCTAAGCTCGCGACTCGGGCTAAGCCGCAACCTCCGGCCGTTACCCCGCTAACTAAGGCGATCTAGCTAAACTCCTCGCGCGTATTACTATCGACTAAGTTAAATACTCGCTAGAAGCTAACCGCTAGCCCGTTCTTAGCGCCTCGCCTACCGTCGAAGATACTACTACCGTCTAACCTATTCTCTACGCCTACGAAGGCTCTAGTTGCGGCTTAGCTACTACTACCTAACAATACGGTTACGCAGTTGCAGTATAAGCTCCTATTGCTCCCGATACGCTTACTACCTTTACCCGCCCTATAGGAAAACACTATAGGCACTTACGGATAATACTAATATAATGCGACGGCAATTAGTATACGTACGCTTAACTTATAAGCTCTCTACTATATGCGCTAGTCCGAGTTAGTAGCAACTAAGGTATACTAGCTTTAATAGATACTAGCTAAGGTATAGATCCGCGAAGTAACGGAGCGCTAGATAGCCTAGTAGTATCGTCTTTCCGCTACGGTCTTAAAGGAGTCGCTTACGCTATCGCTAACCTATCTTTACTACGATTTCTTACGCGTCGCGCTATAATAGGCAATCCCTATACTATACCTAATTAACGAGGACGCTTTTAAGCTATTCGGCGGCGTATAAGGCAATACTACTAAGGATAAGATCGCGAAGCTTAACGCATAGATAGCTAACTACTTTAAGCTATACGGTACTATACGCGACGCCGATACGCTACTATTACTAGGTACCGACTTCCCTAATATCCCTATCGATTAGTTAGACCGCGCTACTACTATAGCGGACGTAGTTAATACCTCGCTATCCGATAATAAGACTATAAAGACCGTCGCGCCTTAGCTATAGCTAAAGGCGGTTTAGACTATACCGACTAGCTTACGCGACGCCCTTCGTAACCGTCGTAATAAGTAAGTATAAAACCGACGTAGTTATTACTAGAGAGACACAATTCTATACCTAGCATTACCGTTCTAGTATACTATTTAGGCTTAGCCTTTGTGCGACGCTATTACGCTCTTTTGCCTTAAACCTTCCTATAGTACGGCCTACTAAGGACCTTTGTTTTAGGACACTATAAATAGTACCGACCTTTTTTATAGAAAGGGAGGCTATTACGATATAATACTATTATATATACGATAGTAGGCAGCGGTTACTATCGACCGCTGCGGTCGCTATTACTACTAATAGTAGGACTATTATATAGATAGCTTGCCTCGCGGCACCTTAGAGAATGTATTAACTTTTGTACTATATAACTATTACGATACCTTTATACTATAACCGTATACCTAGCACCGAGGTATAGGCTACTCTTAAGCGCGCTCCGTACGAGGCGCCGCCCTCCGTATAGCCTATAGCGGCGGCGGCGGTAATAGTACTACTACTACTATAGCCTATCTCCTTTAATATAATAACTTCGAGTAATTATACCTTAGGCTATAAGCGTAAGGCGCCGGCGACGGTAAGGTTAGGTTCTATAAGCAAGAAGCGTAAGTAAATAGGTCTATATTATCTACTATAATAATAATATCTTAATTTAGTCTATACTACTATTTCTTTAGCTTTATTTTTAGCGACGGTAAGGTCGGATACTACCTCTACCCTGCGCGACGCGACAATATCACGTAGGTCACGGTTTTAGTAGGGATTGCTAGTGGAAACGGACGTTCAGTATGCGCCGACCTCCGATCAGGTATCCAGGCTGTTGGCTATTATAGCCATATCCCACAAGGCTTATTAGCAGTATGCAGTTGGCCGACCAATGGACTTCACAGTCGCCGATTCTAGCCTTTCTTCAAGCCAACTTTATCTCGGCTTGTGGCAAGCAACTGCGGTGTATCTTATACTTAGGCAATCTGGTGGCGGTGGTTTTGCCCTGCGTCCACGTCGTTCGAGAATCACTTCATGAGTCCCCTGCGGATGCCGAGCTGACATTCGATAAACAACGGACATTGAGGCATCAACACATGTGAGAGATGAGACTTCAGTCGTGAAATGCTCGCGGCCAGAGTAAGTATTATGCTACGTTAAGTAGCGGGTACAATTTTTGCCGAAACGATTGTCGACAGGCCGCATCACTTGCCATTACTTCCTCCCAAAACATTACCAAGCAGTGCAACGCAACATACATCAAGGGTATCATGCTGGAAACATAGTACTACTTTCCATTTCAACTCCCCGCTGACAACCTCTCCCCCTCTATCCGCTTCGTGATAGTCGCAGATGTTGCTGAGTCATGACGGCGACAGCTAAGCTAGGCTTCACACACACACCGTCAGCCTCTCAGACTGCTTCTTGCTGGGTAGCGACGGCGGGTGCGGGTGCAGCCTCACCTTCAGTGACACCATTGGTGCCACCGGCTTCGAAGTGTTTATCGCCACCGGCTCCATTCGACGTACCTGCGTTTCCGTTTCCATGGTAGGCAATGTCGGCGTCGTAGTCCCGGAGCTTCAGACCTAGGCGGGCGGGATCGATGTTCCAATGGCCCCAAACGAGCGCGATGGAGAAGATTGGTTTCGCGACAAAGTCAAGCACGCCATAGAAGACTGCTTCCGAGTCTGGAGCAATCACGTTTCCGCCTTCGCACAAGCCCCAGGCGACTGGGTAAAGAGTCCAGACGAAAAGGGTCAAGATGCCGCACTGGAAGTACACGCGGGACACATCGCTGCCGAGATGCTTAGCATGCAGGCGTCCTTGACCGATGAGACTCCAGAAAACACCAAACATGGCCACGCATCCAATGGTATAGTATCCCCACTTGTAGCGAGTCTTTACAAGAGCTCCAAGTAGGCCAGTGACGATCATAACCTCGTCGAGGAATGTGGCCCAGAGAATCGTCTGCCATGGCAAGCCAGCGGTGAGGAGCAAGTCCAAGAGCAGGAGGGGAGTGGTGATGACCCTTTGGCTTCATCAGCGCCAAATGCTAGTTTCAAAGGCCATTGTCAAAGATGCTTACCAATCGACATATCGCGCGTAGAAGATCTCACGATTGACGCCCGCAACCTTGTCGTCGGTGCGCGAAAACTCCACATCAATTGGCGTCCAACCAAGATGAGAGCCCATCGAGTAGTACGCGACGAAGGCAGTGAGATTGATCGCGGCCGAAATGTAGAAGAAGACGCGATCAGTTCTTGGCCGGGTGTATGAAGCGACGACAATTCCCAATCCGACAAATCCCATCACCGCACAAATGGCGAAGTAGACGTCACTGCCGTGATCGGTGATGGCAATGTCGACACACTTGCCATTCTGGCAGTAGCCATTGACCTTCACGGCATCGTTGCGCCTAACAATGTTGTGATCCATCTTGTCTATTGGCTGTGTAAAGATGACTCGCTGACTGTCTCTAGTAGAACTGCTGATGATGGTGGAGAGAAGGCGGAAGGTTTCGAAAAAGAGCGAAAGTGACACATATACCTACGATGCCGCCGGCGCCTCTGGCTGGCCACACAACTCCTCTTTCATGATGTCAGTCGTTGCCATGGCAGGACCACCGTAGAGCTCTAGCATCCAGGATCGATATGATCGGGCTGTTGGGTTGTCCTCAAGAGGAATTCTCCACTCAGAAGAACGGAACATGAATCAGGACTGCCGTCATCGAGAGGGGCAGATGCTTGTCTTCAACAGGGCCGTCGTGACGATCGAGAGAGTTGCAGGTGAACTGGATTGGTCGAGAGCACCTTTATGAACGTCCCAAACCGTCACATCCGGTAATCACCAATAGAAGCTGCCAGTCAAAGATCATGAGACCGAAGCATGAAGTCGAAATGTGCATGGATTGGTGCAGCGGAGAGCAGGCGGGAGAGGGATCATCTCCAAGGGTAGCTATTGCTCTAGGAACCTTCCAGATAGATCACCAGAGACGCCAGAGATATGCACTCCTCATGAACTGTTGTCATCGCAACTTATCTTCAGGATAATAGAGATCTACGTCCCGCGCATTCTGCTCCGGATCTCGCCACAGAGGAGGCCGAGTTGTGCGAAGATGTAACAAGCTGATTTGCTCGTGATGAGATCACATCACATCCAGCGGTCCATGTCCAGGCCAATATGTCCACACAAGGAATGTTTTCTGCCCGAGGCCCCGAGCGGAGTAGGAAGTGAGCAGGAAATGAGATGGCTGGCGTTGCATGGTGCAGGTGCTTCTCATGATCATAGCGTTGGGGTCAATAATACTGCGCACGGTCGATGTGATCGAGAGTGACAGGGTGTGGTGTGAAGAAGGTTCGAAGTTGGGGAGTGGTTCAAGGTGAAAGAAGAGGGGCTTCTTGGCAGAGCATCCGTGCGTCGCTGGTTCTGCACCCAGGACGTGCTCAACGCAGCGATACCGTCGCCATAACATCGTCCGTTCTCTGATTTCGTGTGTGTCGGCTGTCGCGGTCCATGCTTGTCAGTTTGCACAACTCGAGACGAGATCCTTACCGCAGTATGCAAATGATCATATCGGACGCGAACGCGAACGCATCCCTACAGTTGTTTACGCCAACAACTCGTGAGCTCGCCAGTATACAACCACATCTCGCTGGCCAGTCCACCGACATAGCATATCCCAGCCATCGCTCGCTCCTTATTTGACCGCGGTATCCATCCACCGCCAGGCCGTCAAGACAAGACAGCTCCTGCTCCCGTGCGCGTAGAAATGCGGTGAACGCTGGACGGGGTGCTGGCATCGAGGCAGTCCGAGACTGCATATTACCTCGACCCGAGTCGCGTACCAACTCAGCCCAGCAGACCTCCTGCGCCTGTGCCCATCTGCGAAGCTCGAGACTGAAGGCTCGGAACCCGACATCGTGTCGGTAGTTGCTCCACAGGCTGGTGTGATATGGCCATTCCCAATCTCCCTCCATAGTCTTGCTCTTCCAATTGACAACATAGCCATCATGCTACACATCATGTGGCACCTGCTGTACCGAAGGACTGTGTCTCGAGGCGACAGCGAGCAGGTGTGTGACGGTGACGCGAGCCGGTGATGCCTCCATACCAGACACAACGTCCTGTTCTTTCGTCTCTTGCCCGCATGCTCCAGAGAGCGGCCATATTATCCCAGAGCACGCGTCGCTGTCCTACGAAACCGAGAGTGTCAGTGTCCGTGACTCAACGCCATTGCTGCTGCACGATCGCCGCCAAACAAGCCATTTGTTCCTGCTCGGCTGTTCCAATTGAACCTGACAAAGATGAAGCCGCGAACGCAGTCAATGGTGCTATCGAAAGTGAACGGGCACCATTGGCAGAATGCGATGGCACTCTGCCTATATGCCACCACCTAACAGTAGGCCTCTACGCCGCTTGACAAGGAGTTTTTCTTCGGCACGTAGATATGCCGGATCGGCAGATGCCACGTGCGTCCAGATGTGGAAAGCTCCGAAATGCGATTTCTCCGCCTAGACACTTGCCTTCCGCAATATCCCCTATATCTTTATATACTATATAATAAAGGGTAGCTATATACTAGAAGCTAGTAACCAACCTAAATATATAGTACTAGAAATTCTAAATTCTCTATAATATACTCCTTAAAGAAAGTTCTAACTTCTAACTATTAAGAGATAATATTAGAGGCTATACGTAATTAGTATATAACTAGCTCGAGTGAAGCTAGGGTCTTAGTGCCTTAGGCAGGGCTTGGCGCTTAGCGTTAGGCTAACTAGCCTACCTTCCTTCTTCTCCTTTTAGTTCTTTATCGAACACTACCTATATCTACGACTACCCTATCTACCTACTAATATACCCTTCTTATATAGTATTCGATCTACCCTTTAAGGGTAGTAGCTAGATAGTCCTTATTTCAAGCTTTTAGCGGTATAGCTACGAAAACTGTTAATCTAACTATATTGCGCCTAAGGCGGGATCTATACGTACTATTCTATTAGAATAACCGTACTAATTATTAAGCAAGGTCTTCTATACGGCCTATTGTACTAAGTTAATCGCACTAAGCCGATATCTACTAATTCCGCTATATCCGTATCTTAGGGGCCTATAATATATTATTAGTGTTATCCTTTATAATAGCCGGCTTATTACGAAGTAACAACAACCGTACTACCGCTAGTAGCGCTAGCAACGATAACGCTAGTAGCATAGTACCTACCGAAGTGCCTACTAAAGCACCTGCTAAATGTTACAGATCTAATTAGTTAGAGTCCTTATATAATCTTATATTAGGGCTAAAGAGGCTATATGTGATTAGTATATAACTAGGCTAAGTAAAGCTAGGGTCTTAGTGCCTTAGGCAGGGCTTAGCGCGTAGCAATAGGCTAACTTGCCTGCCTTCCTCCCTCTTCTCTTAGATCTCTATCGAATACTACCTATACCTACTACTACCCTATCTACCTACTAATATAACCCTTCTTATATAGTATTCGATCTACCCTTTAAGGGTAGCAGCTAGATAGTTCTTATTTCAAGCTTTTAGCGGCATAGCTACGAACAAGACTAATCTAACTATATTACGCCCGAAGAACGGGACCTATATATACTATTCTATCGAAACAACCGTACCAATTATTAAGCAAGGCCCTCTATACGGCCTATTATACTAAGTTAAGTATACTAGACCGATATCTACTAATTCCGCTATATCCGTATCTTAGGGGCTAATAATATATTATTAGTGCTACCCCTTATTATAATAGCCGGCTTATTACGAAACAACAATCGCGGCGCCGCTAGTAGCGCTAGCAACGACAATGCTAGTAGCATAGTGCCTGCTAAAGTGCCTACTAAAGTGCCTACTAGAGCACCTGCTAAAGTGCCTCCTACTAAAGAGCCTACCGGAGAGCCTGCTAAAGAAGAACCTATAATTCTAGGTAACGACCTAGAGTTGCCTATTAACGACATTCTTAACAACATTATTAATCGACGATATAGCTAACTAGCCTTTAGCCCTCAACTATTAGGGAGACTTTAAGAAGCTACTTAAAATAGGCTTACTGCCCTACGTTAAGAACAATAGCTAAAGGATAATCTCCTCGAGCTCCGTCGCCTTTAGGAAGCTCTAATAACTAAACTAATAGCAGGACCTTCTTTACTACCTATCTAAAAGAAGGACGCTAAACTTAAGGACTATACCGTATTTAATAGCTCTAGTCGAAAGTAGTATAACGACTACATTTGTAACTATAAACTCAACTAGCGCAATGCACTAAGAGCGCTACTAGACGACTATTCCTTAGTCGTATACGCTATATAGTACATTAATAGCGACCTAAAGCGTATATAGGATAACTATTTTAACTCCCTTAACGATTAGACCGCTATTTAGTAGCAGACCTATAAAACTATTATACTAGATACCCTTAGAAACCCTATACTAAGGCAACAATATACTTAGGACCTATATCTTCGAGCTAAACAGAAGACTAATTAATCGGCTCGCTTATTCGAGGCCTATTTAAAAACCCTTAAAGACGACCTTCCGCCTAAGACTAATTCTATATAGATCTCCGAGATACGCCTAAAACTTAGATAGGAGCTTATCCTCGAATTAGACCGTCGCCGTGTATTCGAACAAGCTAATCTAACACGCATTTAATTTATAGTCGAAGTAGAAATAGCCGAACGGGCTGTTTAGCTCTAATAACGACTAGAATTAAGGATCCGACTAACTAGCACTAACCGTAGCAACCGTAGCCGGGGAGGAAACTAAGGTTCCTACTAGGACAACAATGCTAATAGTAGGAATAGTAACAACGACCGTAGAAGAGGCCGTAGCTAGCGGCTATATAGAGGGGGCCGCGATAGGGGCCGTAGAAGGGGCTCGTATCCCTATAATACTAACCGCTCGACTAACAATAGTAGTAATAATAGCTACGGCAACAATCTCCTAACCGGATTGAAGTGCTTTAACTGTAATAGTACTAGCTATCTACTAGGCTAATGCGACAAACCTAAGGACTAGGCCCGAATCGACCGTGCTACCGCTAAGTACCGTAAGTACCTTTTAGCCGCTAATGCTACCCTAGTCGGCTCTTTTAATTAGTCGAAAAAAGAGTAAGCGCCGTACTAACTGTTAGCCTTGTACGGCGTAAGACTATCGACATTGTGCTAGCTATAATACGCTCCTGCCTTATATAGGACACGAAGGGCACTAACTATTAAACTAAGGTTATACTAGATCTAGGAAATTTAGTTAGTGCCCTTATTAGCTATCGCCTAGCTAAGCAATTAGACCTTCGACAACTACCGAGGACTAACCTACTAACCCTTGCTTGGTTTAATAACGCTCGGCACTTGACTTATAGAGCCTACTATGTCTCTATAGTTCTAAAGGACGACCTCGGAAATGAACGCCTACTAGACTTTACTGCCTACGTAGTAGATATAGACAACCTATATAGGGGAGCTACTATTGTTATTAGTAACCCT